TGATGAAAAAAAAATCATCTTTTTACAAGGTTTTATTAGCTTTATTCACGCGCCATCATGTTAGTACAGCTAAATGAAACGATAATTTCATAAAAAATATCATGAAAATACTGAAACATAAAACCAGCAGTGGAATGACTGAATTGATATCACCTGACCTGAGCTAGATAAAGGTCAATGTACGCGCGAACACAAATTCGCGCGGCCCGCAACTAGCGGGCCTTCCCACAATACCTAATAATTTACAACACGTGTCTAAATACCTAACTTATCTACTTAACCTACTATTTTGCCACTGTGCTTATCTCCACGTAGCCACTTTAATCCGAATTTACAGGTTAAATAACCCAAATAACTGGTTCGATTCCCCGCTAATGAAGAAATACTTAAATGAAATGTAACCAAGGTTTGAGTCATGCGTTTTTATTCATCGTGTAGGTATGTTTATTATTCTCGTGTATTCAGTTATGTACCTATTCAGATTAGTCTAGTACTAAGTTATTTAAAAAAAAATAGTTATGAAACAGCTTACTGCTCTAAATCCTCCGTGGTCTTATGAGATGCGGCTCAAATTGTGCTCCATTCATTTCAAGGCAGACTTGGGTGCAGGCGGGGCATCATCGTGTGGTCTTCGACACAGTCCGTACGTAGTTTCTCGAAAGCATCCACGATCCTTTGGCGCATTTCTTCAGCACTATCACATTCACGATTAAAAACCCTTTCTTTCACATACCCCACAAAAAGAAGTCTAACGGAGTCAGATCTGGTGAGCGAGGTGGGCAAGCGTGTGGTCCTAGTCTGCCGATCCAGCGATCATCAAATAGCTCATTGAGGCGCTCACGGACGAACCTCACGAAATGTGGAGGGGCACCATCATGTTGGAACTATGTGCGGCGATATTCAGCCAACGATAGGTCGTTTAAAATGTCAACCAACTGTTCATTTATAAAGTTTAGGTATCGCTGTCCGTTCAGTCGCTCTGGCAGAAACACTGGTCCCAGTATGCGATCCTTAAATAAACCTGTCCATACGTTAACCGACCATCGGGTTTGGTGCCCGGTTTGTCGAACAGCGTGCGGGTTAACCTCTGAATACACGTGTGTATTTCTTCGGTTCCACAGGCCGTTTCTGGTAAATGTCGACTCATCCGTCCAGATAATGTGCTCAATGGAACCAGGCACACGTTGTTGCTGATATAATAACCAACGGCAGTATAATAACCACTATAAACGTACGCGTTAGGCATTATTAAAACAAAAAAGAATCCAAAAACGTAACAAAAACTTTAATATCAACACGTAATCACAAGTAAATTTATTAAACAAAACGATTGAACTGTCGCTCGCGCACGCGTGTACAAAATCAACTGTCTCAAAAACTAAAACGAACGAACTGCGTCACAAGCGTGAGGCGACAGGGTTAGGCATTCTGCCGTCATAATAAAAAATGAAGTAACTAACAAAAACGTAAAATGGAAATAAAAAATAAATTGATGAATTTTTCTTTCAGACCCCGTGTCTAAAGTATATTAAAAGGTATCTATATTGAAATATATACATAGAGACATGAAGATTTTAAGGACGAACTTATTTTTTTTTAAATTTGTTTATTTAAATAAAACGAATTTTCCTTTTCATCTTAGATTAAAAAATACACCTGGCAACACAAAAACATCGAAGGAAAGACGCATATAACTATTTGGGTCTTCCCAACCTAATAAATAAAACAAAACTACCATTCATTTAACATTTTTACATATTTTGGAAAGGTCATTTGAAGTTGAGAGGACGCTAATAGTAATTTACTACTTTTTTCTTAGTAAATATTAGAAAAGCATTGGTAGTGAGACACAAAAAATAACAACCCGCAACTCTTGAGTAATGATTTTAAAGGGGATATCATACAAGACTTACTACGATAATAATTAAAAATTAAAACATTTGTACAACCGACTTTAATATAAATAATTAAGGATAACTCAAAAACTATTGGTCTGACCTCGATCAAATTTATATGGGACCACATGTGAAACACCAGCTCTTAATAATAAGATATAAGCTCTTAATAATAAGATATAAAATAATAAGACAAGAATAATTTAAATTTAAGTAATCGATGCAAATATTGTTAAAGATGACGTAGCAACTGGTTAAATAAGTCTTTTCTTTTATGTTGAATTTGTATAAGTCTTTTCTACTAATAAAATGTCATCTGTGATCAACAGCTACGTCTAAAATTCTGACGATAATTTCTAAAATATTGATATTAGTGAATATTAAAAAAATTTAGTAGATGCGTCTTCTTATCATGAGTCGAATGGTATATTTAACTCATTTATTCGAAAATTGTTAGATGCGCCCTTTTTTCTTATGACCGCAGTATTGTTTCATACCGAGCTAGATACAGGTCGACAGCGGAGTGAGTGTGGGTACAGTCGCGTTCTAAAGTACTACATGGTATTGGGCTATTGTTTTATAATATTATAGTAATTAATTGTTTTATTGTAGAATCATAATAGGTGTTTTACTAGCTACTTAGAACTTTGGAAGAGGTGGGAATTAAAAATAGATAATGTTTACTTGAGCATTGTTTGTTATTTCTATCGTAAAATATAAAGTAGTTTGTAACAAAAAAACTTAAGCTAAGGGTGACACGCCGTCCATTATGACGTCTTGGGTCACATGGAAGCCAGATGTTGATGGTGTGTTGGTGTTACTGGATGCTACTTCATCATCACTTTCATCTTCGCTTGAGCTTCCGTCATTAGGTCGATCACATGGTAATTTTTTCGGTATTCTTCCTCAACAATTTTAACTTTACTGCACAATTTTCCCCATTCACTTTTTCGTTCACTAGTTTAGTCATAAAACAATAGATATAAATATTTTTTTTTCCTTCCTTTTTAAAACATCGTCGCGAGTCGCAAAGTAAGCTGTGTATGCGACTGTATTTTTGGAGCGAACAAAGCGCGGGAACCAATAGCATGCAGGCACAGTAATACTGGCCAATATGTGATAAATCGCTCCGTGCCCAAGTTCAAGGCCAGCGTTCTTTTTTCACCGTTCGCGCGTACATTAACCTCCATTAGTCAGGTGATATCAATTCAGTTTCCACTGCTGGTTTTATGTTTCAGTCTTTTCATGATTTTTTTTATGAAATTATCGTTTCATTTAGCTGTACTAACATGATGACGCGTGAATAAAGCTAATAAAACGTTGTAAAACTATGTTTTTTTTTTCATCAGGATCAAATTTATTTATGACCCATGATCAAAGGTATACTTGGTGCTGTCGCCTGTCTTAGTTTTCGGGAGCGTTCCAAAAATACCCTGTATATAGAATAATTCATTGTAATTTTTTTTTCAAACAAACAATAAATATTTACTTAAAACAAATTAGTTCATATTTAAATTAAATTAAATTGATTTCCTTTTAATTTTATTGAAATATGTACGAAATAATACTGAACCTAGGTGATGCGCCCTTTAGTGTAATTTTCAGTAATTTATAATCCCTACGCCATCTATAAATGCGCAGAAGAAACTTTCCTCGTTTCGTTACCTAATTACTTTTCAGAGTGGCTCATCTATGCCTGAAAACTGTAGAATGAGTGCAACATTTATTTTACAAATTACTTCGATTATTTTAGTTTAAAAGTCAGAGGCTCTAATATAATCTTAGATGTAATATTTAGACATGTATTTTAATAATAATTTATGATTTTTATGCAGTAATATAGTATTATAAATGTCTAAAATTACATTCTTTCTATTCTCATTTATTTCTATAATGTTTATACCCATATTTTTTTAAAGTGAGTCGTAGGATCAGAGTTTGATTTCGAAGTCTATAATTAAACTGTATTCATAAGTAGTAAACATAATTTATATATATATATATATATATATATATAAATAGAAAATTATTATAGGTACATAGTTTATTATTATTATTATATTAATAATCATTATTTTTTATAATGATTACTTAAGTTGGCGATTTACTTTCATATACTTAATTAGGCTTAGGACTGACAGGAAAGTTTTAAAACAAATGTACAAAATGCAAACAAATATATACTACAAATAAACGCACAAACGCAACGTCAAAAATTAATAATTTTACAGATAGTTTCATAGTGAACGGCACATCACCCCACCAATGTCAAGTGCGTAATTGTTACGTTTGAAAAAAAAATCAAATTCTAACTTTCACATAAATAAAAGGCCTAAACCAAATATAATGTGATGAAACAAATCTAAGTCTAGTGCCTAATGTCCTAAAGATCATTTAAATCTGACAACTCTCACAACTACACAAACTTAAAAAATTAGGCAATTTTAACCATTTAAAATTCGAGCTTATTGTTATGAATCTTATATTTCACTACGTGCACCGTTTTATGATAACAACCAAAACATCGCAACCAAATCCATATTCGCTTCATCTCTTTCATACGTATTTATGATACTGTCGCTAGAACGAGAAACAACGAATATCAAAGGACATCGGTTAGTTTTGGTTTTGGGCCGTTTTCGGTTATTGGCATATTATCGTTTTGCGTTTTACGTTTCGTACATTGGTTAGTTGATTTTGGGTTTTGGTTAGATATGTGATAACAGTTATGTTCTTAGGTTTATCGATATGATATGATATTTGATAACATAACGTTATGAGTTACGTTTTGATATATCGGTCTCATGCCTAGTTACTATATAGCACAGAGTACCTTTATATATACTGCTATATAGTTTGTGAAGATTACCAGCAAAGAGAATATAATCACTACGTTTATTTCAGTATATAAAAAGTACTCTGTGGTTTAATTACCAGCTGTGGTTTCTATAGTTTGTGATAAATAATATGGTAACTTGGTTCATTTCTATTTACATTTTATTTTTACTCCTCTTAAAACGTAGTGATTACATAAATAATCTTTGCGTTTGCTCTCATTCTCCCCTGAACTAAAATAGTTATTGTTATCAATTTTTATTTTCAAATATGGGAAAAACGTCAAAGGACAAAAGAGATATATATTATAGGTTAGCAAAAGAAGAAGGATGGCGAGCAAGAAGTGCCTTTAAACTGTTACAAATTAATGAGGAATATGATATTTTTAACGGGGTTTTACGTGCCGTCGATCTTTGTGCAGCTCCAGGTAGTTGGAGCCAAGTTTTGACTAAAAAATTAAAGGAGAACACTACGAACGCTGATGATGTAAAAATTGTCGCTGTTGATTTACAGGCAATGGCTGCTCTTCCGGGAGTAAAACAAATTCAGGGTGATATTACAAAATTGAGTACAGCTCACGAAATCATTAAGGAGTTTGAAGGCTTTAAGGCCGATCTCGTTGTTTGTGATGGAGCACCTGATGTGACTGGTTTGCATGATATTGATGAGTACGTTCAATCGCAGCTTCTTCTCGCCGCTTTAAATATAACGACGCATGTTTTAAAAAATGGTGGTGTGTTTGTTGCTAAGATATTTAGAGGAAAAGATGCTACGCTACTATACTCCCAACTAAAGCAGTTCTTTGAATTGGTCACAGTGTCAAAGCCAAGGAGCTCGAGAAATTCTAGTATTGAAGCATTTGTAGTGTGTCAGAACTATAATCCACCCTCAGGATTTGTACCAACTATGATCAATCCACTTTTGGACCATCAATATTGTGACTTTAATCAACTCACAGGACCTAACAGATTTATAGTTCCATTTAATGTTTGTGGTGATCTGAGTGCTTATGATTCTGATACTTCTTATCCACTGTTGTTAGATGGTCAAACTACATACGAGTATAAAGAGCCCATTCAAAAACCAATAGATCCTCCATATAAAAATATACTGGAAAAAACTAAAAACATGCAATTAAATAAGTAAGAATCATTTTCAGTTTTATTTGTTACAAACCTAAGGTCTCTTATTAGTTACAGACATTAGATTTTGTACAGTAGGGCTACGATGTTTACCCAAGTACAGAACCACAGTAGGAAACCTATCCAACTGTAGAAAAGTGTAAGACTTAAAACTTCGCTGCTGCATTGAAAGACATTTTCAAGCAACTGGATTGGAAAGGATACGGTATTAACATCAATGGCGAGTACATCACTCACCTTTGATTTGTCGATGATATAGTTCTTATGGCAGATTCGCTGGAGGACTTAAGCACTATGCTCAATGACCTCAATATGGCCTCCCAACGGATAGGTCTTAAGATGAACATGTGTAAAATCCATGTCACACCTATGCTGGTAGTTGGGAGCAGTAAGCTCAAAGTTTTTGATGAGTATGTTTACCTGGGACAAATAGTGTGACTAGTTAAGTCCAACTTCAACCGAGAGGTCAATCAACGTATTCAATTCGGCTGGGCAGCGTTAGGGAAATTATGACATATCTTCTCATCAGGTATACCTCAAAATTTGAAAACAAGATTGTACAATCAGTTCATGTTGTCAGTGATGACTTATAGATCTGAGAGATGGTCCTTCAACGCTGGTCATATGAGTAAGCGCAAGGTCACTCAGTGAGCTAGTAAGAGGACTGTGCTTGGGGTGTCTGATAAACTTAGAAATGAGGATATTCGTAGTAGAACCAGAGTGAGTGGCCGACATAGCCCAACAGATTAGTAAGCTAAAGTGGCAATGGGTCAGCTATATAAGTCGAAAAACCGACAACCTATGGGGAAATAAGGTTCTTGAGTGGTAGTCTCGTACTGGCAGGCGAAGTGTAGGGCGTCCCCCCACTAGATGGAGTGACGACCTGGTAACAAATGCAGGAAGTCGATGGATGCAGATGGCTCAGGACCGTGCTTTGTGGCATTCCTTGAGGGAGGTCTATGTTCAGCAGTGGACTTGAGAAAGGCTGTAATGAAGATGATGATGATTAGATTTTGCCTTTGGATTTGCTCACATAGAGTTCAACGTTAGTTATGTTTTAAATACAATACTTCGTACAAAGTGACTGCTACTGTAGCTTATGGATTAAGGTAAAGAAAATGTGAAAATTCAATGAGATTGCTTTCGTAATACTGGGATAAAATGTAGGGTTGTGTTTAGTATTGTGCTACCTTGTTGGAGGTCAGCTGTGGGTTGTAGGGAGGGAGGGATAGAGATGAAGGAAATCCCATTTTCACCCTGCAACTTTTTTTAACAGACAGGTTTTTAAATCTCTGAAAACTTAAAAAATAAATCATAAAAGCTTGTTAAAAACCATAATGTAATCATTCTAAATGTTATTTATAGTTTATATAATTTATAACATATTACTTTTTTAAATTCATAGTAATTGGTTATGATTTAATTTATGTGTTTGTTATATGTTATGTTACTCATGACCAAGCTGTACAAGAAGATCCATTGAAAGCATATTGAAAGAGAAAAAAAGTTGTTTGTCCAGGGCTGATTGTTATAATTACTGTAAAAGTTAGAAGTAAAAGAGACCTATAGCTCCAGCACCAAGGTTTTTTTTTTATAATACTGAAGTGACAAATGAATTTATAGTCCATGTGGCAACTGCAGTCTGCACACCTGCAGCTAGTTTCATGCAAATAAGGCCACAGATGCGTTTTCACTCCTGAGAGCTAAGATGGAATCCAAGTTTCTGGAGTATTATATTAAGTAACAAAAAGCGGGTAATCCTCTTAGGAAGTGATTCTACTGCTCAAAAATAACAACTGTGGGACCTATATCGAAATCTAAAAAAAAATACTTCTCCGCATAAAGTCGTCTCTGCTGATCGGCGGTTTAGTATGTGGAAGGCATTATTTTTGAGATTTCGATGTAGGTCCCATAGAAGTTGTTGTATTTGAGCAATAAAATCACTCTCTAAAAGGATTACCCGCTTCTTTGTAACAGCTTGTACGTAGGTCACTCAGTAAGTTTTGAGATGCCCGAAATTTAAAAACGTGTTATATGTTTATAAAAAGCAAATTTATTTAAAAATAGAACTCCATAAGCTAATTGCTTCGCGTAGTCTATATATTCTTTGTAATTGCTCAGTATTAAAAAAAAACCAAAGTTCTATTAATTTTCCTGCGACGCTTCCCGCGCTTTTCATTTAAAACGATGGATCTTAACCGTGAACATTTGCGCGCTATGATATATTATGATTTTAAATTTGGTTTAATCGAACAATTAAGTTTACAGCGGTTACAATCAGCATTAGGGGACTCAGCTCCATCACGCGCAAAAATTTTTAGGTGGTTTGCTGAATTCAAAAGGGGTAAAATTAATCTCAAAGATGACCAAAGAACCGGGGCCCCGCAAACAGCAGTAACGGCAGAAAATGTATGGATTACTGAAATGTTGGTGCGAGGAGACCCACGAATCACATATATGGACCTCGAAAAGATTGTAGGCATTAGTTCAGGGAGCATTCATACCATCCTACATCAACATTTTGGACTGAGGAGCTTTGTTGTCGACGATCCCTAGTTTGCTCTCCGAAAGCGAAAAACAGACTCGTGTGGATTGGTGCGATGAAATGCATCTACGTTTTGAAAACAGGGCATCTAGGCGTGTTTCAGAAATCGTTACTGGTGACGAGACAAGGGTCTAACAATATGATCCGGAAAATAAAAGGCAATCATCGGTATGGGTCTACTCAGAAGGATAGTTACTGACAAAACTGCAAAGACCTCTCAACGTCGGCATAAAAATAGTGCAGTAGTTTTTTTCGCGGAGCGGACATTTGCCGACGTCAATGCTGAAAAATTGTAGGTCAGTCAACTCTGAATGGTATACTACAGTTGCATTACCCAAAGCTTTTCAAGCTGTGCGGGAGAGAAGACCAAAGACCGGACTTCGGGGAATCATGCCTCATCACGATAACGCCTCTTCACGTACCTCCCTTAGAACAAAAGCATTTATTGAGGAATCTGGTATTGAAACTCTTAGTCACCCACCCTACAGTCCTGACTTAGCTCCTTGTGATTTCTTTTTGTTCCCAAGAGTCAAAGAAAAAGTAAAAGTCAAGTTTTTTTCAAGCGCCGAAGAAGCCGTGGCTGCCTACGAAGAAGCGATTTCCGACCTGCCAGATCAAGACTATGATAGAGTGACATGATAGAGTATGATGGAGAATATTTCGAAATAAATATTAATAGTATCTAGAATACTTTTTATATATCTTAAAACTTATTGAGTGACCTACGTATATTGTTACGGTTTTATAGTTTTAATAATAAGGTGCAAGGAACAATAAAGTTTATATTTTATTATCACTATATGTAAATATACTTTATTTTATAGTTTTAGATTAAAATTTTAACAAAAGGTTTGTTAATTCTGAATATGCGTACTGCCCGCCCTTGGGCGCGATCCTTAGATTGTTGATAAGTCATCGCGGTCAGAGCGCGCGATGACATCAATAATCTAAGGGCGCGATCAGCATGAGAGGTCAGAATTGTCCTTTTCTAAAATCTTAGATATCCGCAGGCCGTTTTCGTAACGAATCAATTATAATAAAAAGAGTTATTAGACAAAGTCTTATAATTTTTTCATGTTATTTGGCATACTTATTAAGGTTTGAAATCCGCCCGCCCATGGGCGGGCTCGGCATGTAAATAAAAAAGTTTTGCAAGGCCCTGCTGCTGCTGAATGGGTGTTAGATACGCAACACAATGTGTCAGTGATTTGATCTTTATTTTTTTGTACTTTATAACCCTTTTTCAATTTTTTTTATTTTTATTTATAGTTTGGTTTATTTATTTATAATCTAATTAATATAAAATATAAGATAACTAATAATATACAAAATAATATTAACCTTTACTTTTTTGTAAAAAATTATTGTTATCAGTGATTTTTATATAATTTCTATAATGAATCGTTATAAATAATAATTGTATAATTATCTTTTTTGTTTTATAATATTATTTTTTTAATTATCAAATATGAAATAGATTAAAAGTCACTGTATTGTCATAATAATTATCATTGATAATTTTCTGTTTATTTCTAATTTAGAATTTGAGATATTTACCTAAGATGTTTTTAAAGTATAGATACGTCATACTCGCTCTAAAATGGCAATACGAAAGTCAGGTAATTGCCTGACTCGTATTCAGTCGGGTTCGCTCTCGCGTCGCGGCTATACCATCGCTACAGCGCGTAAATCTTCTAGTTCTTCGTGGTAAAAATGCCTTCCTGTGTTTTAAGGTGGTGCACAAATTACACGGCAACCCTTAGAGACAAGAAAAACGTCTCATTAGTATTTTGAATATAGATGTTTTGTTCATAATTGGTATTATTATTTCAACACTAACCGCTAGTCTAAACTTTGACGCTAGCTAGTCATTGACAATTTATCGGTATGTCACGTGCTCGCACCAATGAGCGCTCATCATCATCATCATCATTATAGCCTTTCATAAGTCCACTGCTGAACATAGGCCTCCCCCAAGGAATGCCACTAAGCACGGTCCTGAGCCACCTGCATCCATCGACTTCCTGCATGTCTTACCAGGTCGTCACTCCATCTAGTGGTGGGGCGTCCTACACTTCGTCAGCCGGTACGAGGTCGCCACTCTAGAACCTTTTTTCCCCATCGGTTGTCGGATCTTCGAGCTATATGGCCGGCCCATTGCCACTTCAGCTTACTAATCCGTTGGGCTATGTCGGTCACTCTGGTTCTACTGCGGATATACTCAATTCTAAGTTTATCACGCAGAGAAACTCCGAGCATAGCCATCTCCATAGCTCGCTGAGCAACCTTGAGCTTCCTCATCCGGCTAGCAGTGAAGGACCACGTCTCATTTCCATAGGTCATCACTGGCAACACGCACTGGTTGTACAGTCTCGTTTTCAAGTTTTGAGGTATACCTGACGAGAAGATGTGCCGTAATTTCCCGAACGCTGCCCAACCGAGTTGAATCCGTCGATTGA